ATTGGGAGAGGGAGAGAGAGTGGGGGGAGAGAGAGAGGAGGAGAGGGAGAGAGAGAGGGGGGAGAGAGGGAGGGAGACAGGGAGAGAGGGAGAGCGGGAGAGAGGGAGAGAGGAAGAGGGGAAAACACGATAACAATATCCCCGGTTTCTCCCCCCCAGCTGGAACCATCCTCCAAAACTTGACCCCCCCCTCACCGATGTCCGGCACGAAACCCGCTCCGCCGTACATGGCGCGTCGCAGCCTGTCGTCCCGCAGCATCAGCGCCGAGCTGATCATCTGTATGTTCCTCCAGCCGCAGCCCCAGCCCCGGTCCGACCCCGTGGCGCTAAAGTGCTGAACAGGACAGCAAAGCAACGCCTGGTAGCTGCCGCCGCCGCCGCCAGCGCCGCTGCGGCCTCGGCCGCCGCCGCGACCACGGCCTCTGCCGCCACCGCCGCCGGCCGCCGCCTCCTCTTCCAGACACTTCTTCAAAAGGTAAATCAGCGCCGGCTCCGCAGACTGGACGGGGAAGCTGCCACCGCCGCCGTCGCCGCCGCCGACAGCACTTCCCCCAATACCACCACCACCTCCAAGACCGCTGGCCCCAGCGCCACCATCACCACCACCACCACCACCACTGCCGCCGCCGCCATTTCCACTACTGCGGTTATAAGTCACGGGTATTGTCAAAGTCGTGTGTGTCCCCGCCGCCATCCTCCAACCCCCTCCTCCCCCTCCCCCTCCCCCACCGCTGTATCCCCGTTGCTGCTGCACATCAGGTCGTTGTTGCGCCACCAGCTCGGCAGCTCGGGTACTAAGTCGCGGCCGCTGACTGCCACCACTTGCATTGCCCGTGTAACTGGTGTTGCGCTGGCGGAGGGGGCACTCAGAGGCCCAGTGACCCTCCTGGCCGCAGGAGAAGCAGCGGCCGGGGCGCTGAGGGCAGAGGGAGGAGGGGGGAAAACAAAGGGGACAATGGAGCTGGAGGGGGGGAGGGAAAGACGAACCACGAACGAGTGACGCTGTTGCCAGGGCAAGTGTGTGTGGGGGGGGGAAGGTTGGCTCCGAACGGGATTCGAACGGGGGTATATGAAAGGAAAGAAAGGCAAGTCATGTTTTTTGCTTCGGTTTTTCCTCTTTTCCACCTTGGCCTTCCCATCCGAAGAACACAGCAGACCGGGCTGACGCTCTCCTTCACCTGGACGAGTCCAAGGTTGGACAAGTTCAGCATCTAGGGAGGAGTTGTTCGTACAGATCATACCTGACGAGATACTTGTACTCTTCCAACCGCCTCCCGTTTACCTCTACCTCTCCTCCGCACTCACTTACCTTATCACTGAAGCCGTATTTGGCCCTCAGGGCCTCAAAATCCTGCTCCTCCTGAAGCCGCCGAGCAGCAGCCTCAGATGCAGCTGCCGTGTCGTACAACTCGTCCGTGTCGTCGTACAAGTACGAATCATCGAGACCCGCCTGTGCCGCGCGCATTGCAACACAAAAATGTCCGCATATGCGTTACTCGCTATGTTGCGCTTTGCCGTTCGCAATTTGTCCTTATAAATTTCCATCTGTACGTGTGTCTGTATGTCACTATGTCTATACGTGTCACACTGTGTGTGGGAGGCGTGTCGGCGTGCGGGCCGGGGTGAAGCGGCGGTGGCATACATACATGGTACATGCATACTCAACCCCACCTGCATCCACTCATCATCTCCGCCGCCAATATCGCTAGGGCCAGGACCAGGACCAAATCCTGCAGTGGCGGCGGGCCCAGAGCCGGGTCCAGCAAAGGCGGCACCCGCACCCACTGGCGCCAGCGGCGGCCCCTGTCCCCCCTCGGCCATCATCACGTGCGCCAACTCATGACTGTCCAGCTCCGAAACCGGGATCCACTGGCCGCAGCCGTACGGGCAGATGATGGAGGGAAGGCAATGAGACGATGAAGTTGCTGCCGCCGGAGGCAGCGGCGCCGGCGGGTTGTAGGCAGCAGTGGCAGCAGAGGCGCTTGCGGTGGAAGACGGAAAGGAGGATGTGAGTGCGGGGGCGCGCTGAGGAGATGGCGGTGCCTGGGTGGTCTGTGCGGAGAGTTGTTTTCGGGAGGGCGGATGGAGGACGGTGTCAGCGGGGAGGGGGCTCGCTGCTGTGGCGCCGCCACCGCCACCGCCGTCGGGAGAGTTTGGGCCCGAGACGATCATGACGTCGGACGAGGAGGATGGAGAGAGTGAAGGTGACCGCGGTGGTGGCGCCGCGGCCGCGGCCGATGGGGCGAGGACTGCAGCAACGGTGGTCGCGTTCACTGCGGGGGCGGCGGCGGCGGCGGTGGCGGTGGCGTGTGAAGTCTGTCTTGTGGCTGCGCTGCCAGGCAGTGAGGCGCTGCGGCCCCAGGCGGAAGGGGGATTGAGAGCACCGGGGTGTGAAATGAATAGGGGAGTGGGGGGAGAAAGGAATGGGGCGAGGGACTGAGCGCGTGGATGCCTCGTGTGGTGCGTGCTGCCTGCTGGCAGGAAAGGAGCACTGGAGAAGCAGTTAGTGGTCTCATAACGAGCAGCCTGAAGCTAAAAGACTGCAGAACATAGTGAGAGAGTCGTACGTATCTCTGCTTGTGTTTTTGTATTAGGAGGCAACGTAGATAATTTGGATTTGGGTTGATCGGTAGGTCACGCAACCTTAACCCTCCTACCGTCAGCGAGGACACCAGCTCAGCCTTTACTCGCTCGCCTACCTCTTGAACCCCCCCAGCCCTAATCCCCTTGCCCCCTGGGGGAATCTCAGTACGTATTTTTTTGGATTTGGTAAATTTAATGGCAGGGTACCTCTCATGGTCTCGCTCGTGCCTGTCCAGCATCACCAGAGGCACCAGTGCCCCGCACACCGTGCATCGCGCCGTGGGAATATCGGGCTCGTTTATGTGGGAGGTAAGTCCAGGGTGCTCGTCGAAGTGGCTGTTTACGTGTGCCTCCAGTAAGTGAAGATGTATGAGAACTCCACATACTGGACACGCCTCCATGGAGCCACAACCGCACGTGGGTGATGTCCTTTATCTTTAAACGTTTCGACACAGCATCTTAAGGCAGAAGGATTAGACAATTTCGTGTTTTCAGGTGATTGGTTCCGGCGTTTGGGCAGGTGCCAGTTGTATGAGTTATTTTTAATTTGTAAGGCGCGTTTACTGGAAAAGCTATGTGAGAGCACATAGGGGCTAGTTTTGGATAAAAGGCCAAATAGTTCCCATGACGCGCACAGCATGTACGACCACAAGGTGCGAACGCAACTTGTAAAGTGAGCTTGCGGTAATCCGTGAAAGGATATAGGGACGTCTGGGCAACTTGTCTAAAATTTTTTACACATCCAAGGCATTTCATCATCAATCAGCAGAGTAGCCTACTAGTAGAAGGGCCGCAATTCAGTGGTTTCTGGCACATATTTTAATTTGACGAGATGGACCAGCAAGGCTTAAGTAAGAAGCAAGAATCTCGGCTACCAATTACCGACTCCGTGTTCGGTCGCGGGTACCCTGCGCAAGCAGCATCCATCGAATACGCGCCCCCACCACCGCTATACCACGCAAGACGAGCGGTGAGCGGGATGAGAACTAACGAAGTTGGGGATGGTACATCTTGCCCACAACGCTGCAACGCAGGTCCTCAGTTCCTTTACAGCTGCCTGCCTTGCAGCTGCAATGATTTGTCTTTACGAAATTTTACCCTTGCGCAGCCTGGTCTCCCGCATCTGTTTCACTTTACCGACCAACAACAAGACATGCTCAGTGGACTGAACAACTACCGCGGAGACCTTGAGAAGAAGCGAGCTGCAGAAGCGAGGGCAAATAATGGAATTGGCTGCCTATTGAAGTAGTAGCAGTGGATGGTTTCAGGTTGAATGTGTGTTGGCATGGGCGTTAGTGTGGAGCTGCAACCTCGATGTTTCTTAGTTACTCGTATCTGGAAAAGCACATTTAGATTTTTGTGGTTCCAACGCAGCCCCGATACCATGCTATCGGGAACCCGCGAGCGGCGAGCCCTGGTCTGTCGTGCCGGGCTCAAACCGCAGGGCGTTGCGGAAGGTAGAGATACCTATCTTTTCGCTGCGCTGTACGCAAGAGTACTTAAGTTATCGGTTTGCTATAAGTATAAGGCGGCTGTATAGTAAGCATTTTGAGACGACCTTGAAATGTTTCCCTGGGATCTGCGTGTGGAGTCGCTCCCAGACTTGCTGCTTCTAAGCCGCCTGTACAAGGCAAGACCACCGTATCATGACGCTTTGAGCCGCGCGACAACGTATCGGAATGTGTAACCAAAGCGTGCTGGGTGCAGGTGTCTGCGGCGCTGAACGCAGCAGCAAAACTAGATGTATTCACCGTCCTCAGCCGCCATCCCGAAGGTGTGGCGGCCCTCTGTGTTGCTGCTCCTTTCCGTCCCTCAACGCACCATAACAGCTCCCTTCCCATCGTGGCCATGGCCACATGAGGGCCAGGTTTGCGGGCCCCCTCCCCCACCCGGCCCCGCCAGACACAACACACTAGCCGCCGCGCCACCAGCCACCGACTCCCTCTCTCTCACCCCAACGCGGCACTCTTCCCTACACACAGCTTTCACGCGCCGTTACGTCATTCCATGCCGTGCCGTGCTAAGCCACGGCATGGTAATACGTCCGCCCACGACACGCTCCTTTCCCCCCGTTCATGCGCCAGATGGTGCAGCCAGCCAGCGGCTAATCTGCTACCAAAAGGGTGTCAGGGCTCCAGCTCTAGCTCTAGCTCTACTGCTGCACCACCAGTCAAAACTCACCCTAGCCTGCCCTCTCCCATCACATTCGCCATTCATCTGCGATAATCCCACCCATGGATACGGCTCGCTCGTATATGTAATTTCCCAAGCTGGTGACCCGACGTCCACGCAGCTGATGCAGCCAACGATGTAAGTGTGGCCGTCGCCATTCACGCAGGCATCATCTACCGCCCTAGGGTCTCCCCCCCCCCGCCCCCGCCTGCCTGCCCGCTGGTACGCCTGGCTGTCCACAAACAGTATGTATGTCTGACATGGGTGTAACCCTGACCCGTCCCCTGATTCATCCGCCCCACCCTAGCCCCTCACACTCGCGCACCGGAGGTTCCTCACTTCGCATTCGCCGCCGAGATGCGTCTCCTACGTCACCATGAGTAGGTGCGACCTACCTGGTATCAGTACTGGTACCGATTGAGGCCGTCATCCACTACCCGGTGCCGCTCGCTGTGTCCCCCCCCCGGGCCTTTACTTCTTTACGGCTTGGCATTACTGCTTTTCTTCTGCGCTTATTTTAGTCTTGGCGGCTAGATAGGTAGTTTTCCGACATCTTCACCACGTCATCCCGAGGTCGCCGCCTTCAAGAACGCCTTTTGGTCAGTTCTAGGTACACTCTTGCCCTGGCAGCAGCTTCACTCGTTCGTGGTTCGTCTTCCCCCCCCGGGCCGCCCTCTCTCCCTCTCCCCTTCCCCCGCCTACTATCTTGCCTTGGCAGCAGCTTCAATCGCGTGTGGTTCGTCTTTCCCCCGCCTCTCTCCTCCCCCTCGACCTCAGCCCCGGTGTCTACACCCCCCCCGTTGTTCCACACCGGCCGGGCAGCTGGCCGCTTTCTTGTGGCCAAACCGAGCACTCCTCCAACTGCCACTGCTCCGCCAATGCGAGGCTGTACAGGCAACCCTCCCACTTACCCGTATTTGCTGTCGGTCCGTTGGCGAAGGGGAGAATCGTGCGCTGGATACTGCGGATCATTCGCCCATCCCCGCTCCTGCGGGCCGCAACTCGCACAACTCGCTGGAGGCCTTAGGACCCGAGAACACGTGTGTGAACACGAACACATGTAAACGCGCAGAACACGCTGACGGCCCAACATGGAACTCATACGCGCTCTAATGTGGATCTTCCAATCTTCCCAACCTCCGCCTCGCAGACCAACAGTCTACACTCCGCCTGTAAATTAGGCGCTCCGAGTCCTTCTGTGCGTTCTTTTGTCCTCGGTTTTTTGGGGTTCGGATTGCCTTCTCCCTCCATTGCGGCTCCCTCTCCATCACCCCGTCGCGGGCAACTGCAGCTGTCCATCCCTTCCAGATTCTCCACCCCAACCCCATTTTCACCCCCAGCTGCCCCACCCCAACCCCACCCCTACACCCTCCTTAAGGTGCCAGTCTGCAGCAGCTGAGTGAAATGCTGGGTCTGTGTCGGGAGCCCCACTTCCGGGGGGGTGCGGATTTCCTTGACTTGTTGGTTTCAGTGGCCTGCCTGGAGCGATCTGGTGGGGGGAGGAGGGGGGAGGAGGGTCATATGGGAGGGTAAAGGGAGGTAGAGGGGAGCTGAGGGCTCGAACAAAGGAATGGAAGCAGGGGCAGGAGGAAAGGGAGCAGGAGGTTTTGCTCGGTCGAGAAGCCGGCACAGGGGGAGGAGAGGGGTGGGGGCCCCTCACAAGTAGAGGCTGGAAGGCACTGGAGAAGGGCTGATGCCCAGTAGGGGGTAACGCCCGCCTGCCGGGGGCCGGTATACGGTGGAAGGAGCGGTGAGGTGGAGGCGACACGCGCGCTAAAACACACACACACATATGCACGTGTACATGTCAAGGGTGCACATTCATACAGACAGACGCATGACCCGGTTCTATGCCCTCTGAACATCGGATCCAGGGGAGGGTCCAGACGGCACTTTGTACCGCAATACTCCCCTGGTGGAGCAGTACCTGGTGCGGGGGAGGCCCCACTACGCGGGTAGGGCGGCGGGGGGGATGGTGGTGTGGGTGAAACGCGCTCGGGAGGGGGGTGCGGGTGGAGAGGGGAGATGATTGGAGAGGGGGGGGTGGAGCGGCGGGAACAAGGGTTTTGCCGGCGTGTCGCAGAGTCAATGGGCTTTGGCTCCATCTGTTGGTTATGACATGGATATCTGAAGATATTAACAAACCTGGATCTGGATTCGGGATGGGACATACGTGCCTGGTTCCATAAACAGATCATCTCGGTGTCTTCCGTACAAAGCCTTATTCCCGGGCGGTCCCACCCCCCTTTCCCCTCTCCCTCTGGCGCCCCTTTTCTCTCGCCAAGGCGGCATCCTCCGCCTCAACTCCGAGCGCTCCTTCCCGATGTTCAGCCATCTGGTCCACGCATTGCAACACGGGGAGATGCCCCCGGGTAGGGGGGGTTGAGGGCTGGGGGGTGTGCGGTGTGTGTGTGTGTGTGTGTGTGTGTGTGTGTGTGTGTGTGTGTGTGACGAATTTCCCCGGCTGAGAGATCTCCACTCCCATCACGTGGTGTTGTGACAACACACGTACACACACATATACACACACACGCGCGCACACATCGGAATTCACACACCTACTTACGCACATACGCACATACATACCGTCCGCCCGTACCACCTGCCGTCATGTCCGCAACCTCATACCCGATATACCCGATACATCCGATTTATCCGCCGTCATGCCCCGCGAGTAAAAACTTGGCCCACCATGCCGCGGGGAGGGCCTCCCACCCCGCATATCGGCCCTGTCTGTCATTATGCGCCACTTCCACCTGCGCCGCTTCGTCTTATTGCCTGCCCCAGCATCCATGAACACCACCTTAACAGTACCATGGCGACGCGTTTTGCTTTCTTTATTACCGCTTTGTTTTCTGTAATACCCTTTCATCCCCCCCCTGCTCCAGTACCATTCCCGTGCACACAGACCATGGAGACAGCCCCGAAACCCCCGATCCTTAACTCCCACAATGTCTAACGGCCAACGGCCAATATAGCACCTCCAATCAGTCCCATTGTACGCGATGCGCCGCATGACGCGTTTCTCAACTCTTCTAACTCCCCGTCAGATGCCTTCCAACGCATCACCGACATCCACACCACCTTCAACTCCGACGTCGCGGCAGCGGAGTTCTTCGCGGAGGGCATGACAGGAGCCAGCCTCGGTAAGAACACCCATCATGTCGTACATTCCTGCCGTACGTTGCCCATTTCCCGTCACCAAACGCGCTCGGCAATATACAAATAGATAATTCTCAATAGGCAATTAGAAGTACAGTTATGCCATACACCTACCGTATATTTTGCAGAAACGTATTTTTTATTAGAAGTCGGACACTGGTAATTACGACAATGTACGACATCGGTCGTATCCAAACCCCTAATTAACGTGGGCTCCAACTCCCCGCGCGTTGGACAGGCAACTTCCAGTTGTTGGCGGAGCGGTTTCCCTTCTCCCGCTTCACGAGTGTGGGCGACCTGGGGGGTTCCGCAGGCTGCCTGGCGTGCTGTGTGGCTTCCCGCCACGCGCACCTCACCGCCACCACGTACGACCTGCCTCCCGTACATGCGGCGGCGGAGAGATACGTCCGGGGTTTCACCCTCCGGGGGCAGGCGGCCGCGGGTGGTGGCGGCGGCGGTGACGGTGGTGCTGGTGCTGGGGATGGGGATGGTTTGGATCTTCAGCGGCGAGTGCAGGTAGGGTGTGGGTAGCGGGGTACGTGGATGTATTTGGGGGATGGGTGGGCGGGAGGAGGGGGGAAGTGGAGGACGGGTGACTACCCGCCCTAGGGGCTTGAGGTGGGGAGATGGGGAGGAACCCTGTGAGGAGGTTCATTAGCGTGCCACACGGGAACACGGGAACGGTGTGTTTGTGTGTCTGCTTGTGCTTACCTGACCCACCTTGCTGATCCCTGATTCACAGTACGGAAGCCGTAAACGGTACCGTGTCGTACCGTACCCTACCCCCGCCCCTACCCCCCCCCCCCAAAACACACATCCACATCACCGGCAGGTCCGGGACTATGATTTCTTCTCCCCCGATCCCATACCTGCCGGTCATGACGTACTGACGTACGGCATGGTACTGCACGACTGGGGTATCGACAAGAAGCTGCTGCTGATGCGGAAGGCAAGTCGGGTCGGGGAATTAGGCTTGGGGACAGTTCGGACAGTTCCGTGGCTCGCGGCTCAGAACGGTAAAAGGAGGTGACAAACGAATTCGGGACCCGGACAGCACCTCCAACTGTGAGGGTGCGTGGTTGACGGGGGAGATGGAACCGCACCACCATGTCTATAAGATTGTGCGGAGGACTGGTCGGGTTAGTTCAGTTGGTGGGGAGGGGAGGGTCGCCGGCCGCCTGTTGTGCTTACACTGTTGTGTGGTGTATATGTACTTGTGTATGCTTGTGTGTATGTGTCTTGATGTATGTATATGCGTGTGGAGCCCCCCTCCGCAAGGGGGGGTCGAGGCCCGGAGCCCATCAACAGCCTTCAGAGCATGTACGGCTAACGTGGACCAGAGCTTGTCGACCAACTCGTTTTTTCAAATCTGCACGGTTTTACACGGTGCCGTACACGCGCCCAACCACCAACCAACCATTCATCACAGCCCACTGTCTGCAAACCTGAACCCCTTGCCAGCTCAGCACCACCTACTACACGTACCTACCCCCCCCCCCCCCACACACACACCGCACCCACCCCACCCACCCCCCACCCCCCCACACACACGCCCTCAGGCCTTCGAATCCCTCCCTCCGGGGGGAGCCCTCATCGCCATAGACCACCTGATAGATGACAACCGTACGAACAGTGCCGTACAGCTAGGCATGAGCCTCACCATGCTCCTAGAGTTCGGGCGGGAGAACGCGTTTGACTACTCGTTCAAGGTACGGCACGGCTGATTTAAGGCGTGGTACAGCGCGGTGGGGTTACACGGAAATTGTGGTGCGATGGGGTTGGTGGGGTGATAGGTGGCCGTGATCACATGTGCATGTGGCTCTGTTGTCGCGGTGAGCTGGATGTTGGGTGCCTTTCAAGGGTAGGGTAGTGCGTGCGGCTCTGTTGCTGCTTCTGTGCATGTTGTTGGGCATCATCGTTGATTCATTGCGGCGAATCCGTGTCTAGACACTGGACACGTACATGTCAGGACGTGCGTGTGCGTGTGTGTGTGTGTGTGTGTGTGTGTGTGCGTGTGTGTGTGTGCGTGTGTGTGTGCGTGTGTGTGTATGTGCGTGTGTGTATGTGTGTGTGTGCGTTTGTATGTGCATTTGTGTGTGCGTGTGTGTGTGTCAAGTCAGCAGTTTCGACCCCACTCCCACCCTCCCTCCGCTCCACCTACATGTAAACATACATACATACGTACATGCGCAGGAGTTCAGCGAGTGGGCTACCCAAGTCGGGTTCTCCTCCCTGGAGCTCATTCCGCTGCTGGGAACTGCCAAAGCGGCGGTAGCGTACAAGTAGATGAAGAGGGAGTGGATAGAGCTACACAGTTCGGTTCGTCGCTGGGTTCTGTGCGGGGGGAAGATGGAGCCCAGGGGGTGGAGCTGAAAACCGCCTCGCTGCGTCTTTTAACTGACTGTGATGTGCTGTGCTAGCAAAATGGAGCCGACTTCTCAGTGATTTTTATTCGTAAGCCAACATACAGGGCATGGGAGGTGTCGTGCTGCTTAGGCCACCTTTATAGACATACCGATGCTTAGATGTTTTTTCAATGGTTCGCGATGACTGGTTGGGGCGAGGCGAAGCGAAGCGGAGTATGGGAGTAGGTGAACGTGTTACTATCTGCGGTAAGTACGTGTGTGTCAGTGTTATGTCCTGAAGAGGCCGTCTCTCATAACAGCACTGCGTGGTGGCGTCTCAGCCCATGTAGTATCACCGTGCGACATCGCAGAGAGAATGGGAACTCCAACCATGCCCGCTTATATAAAAGAACCTTATTAACTACTTGTCCGCTGTACAACTTAATGCGCCCCGGACACACCGCAGCAGCAGCAGCTTCAGGTCCGGCTGCCGGACCTCCCCATCTTCCTTATCCCCTGCCTCTGCTACAAACCCTCCCTTCAGCAATCCCTCGCAACACATGACACCACACGTGGCGCCATCCCCCTCAACACTTACGTGTGAGTGGATGTGTGGTTGCATTTTATCCCCTTGGCTGTGTCCGCAAGGGGACGGAGCTGTCCGCTCCGTGCCCATTGAGCCGCACCCGCCGTCCTCCAGTCTCCACCCACTACCGCCCAACGCAGTGACGTAAACGAGACTTAAGTGTTATGTATTGGGCTGAATTTGTTTGATTCAGAGGGTACAGTAACATTTATAGCATGAAAGAGGAGTGCCACAAAATATACACTGCCACCGGCCATCAACAGCTGCAAAGCACTACAGCAAATTGGACATTTGCAACCGAACCGGACAGAACAGAGATAATCAATCACCTAAAGGCATTCTTCCGCCTTGCACTGCACTGCACCGCACGGCCCCACACTGCACGTCCGGATAATACTCACCGCAGCACACCATCGTATCCACAAACAAAGCATGCCCTTCAAATCGCCAACAACTCGTTCTTCGCATCGTGTCTGACCGCCCGAATGTCCTCTGGTACCCGCATCCGCACATCCGAGCCCACATACGTTCGCTCACGACACATGCAGCGGGGCCTAATAAGCCTGGGCTCGGCCAATCTGCTCTGATCTCTAAATAGTTCCTCCAGTCCCAGTCAAAAAGCCTGTCCTCCGCAACGTAAATTTCTCTTGCGAGTAAATGTTTCTTGGGCTGGTGGTGTGTTCACAAGCCCTTACATAAAAAGGAGAAGACTCTTCTGTCCGCCCTCACGTCAAGTTCATGCCCCGGGCGCTCAGCGCGCGACAGCAAAACGTCTCCTTCTCCGCGGCTCCTGCCTTGTTGCTGCTGAATATCGATGCGTAAACCTCCTTCGTAGCGCCCGCTGGAATCTTCAGACGCTTGTTGACAGCAGCCGTCCCCGCCGCCGCTGCTGCTGCGTCGTCCGCTAATGGTGGCGAGCCACTCCGTCGCGCGTCAGCGCCGCCATTGACGGCGGCGTTCGGCAACACCACTGCCGCCGTCGCCGCGGCTGACCGTTTCTTGTCCTTCTTGGATCCGGCCTTTTCCGCCAGGCGCGCCGCTATCCGGGCCCGCAGCTGTTCCAGCTGCTCGCCTGTGGCTTGCGGTCACGTCCAACGATACTCACGTTCATGCACACCATAGGACACTGACAGGCAACTAGCTGTAGATAGGTCTTTGGCCGCCTCGGGCTCCGGGTCTACGAGTTAACATCTTCAGGTAAAAGGAAGACGGTGACCAAGGAGAAGATGGAGAAGACGAAGAACAGAAACACGGACCGCTAGAATCGACAGTTAACGGACTTTGCAGGGGCGTAGTAGACTCGCATCCCACTTGCGATACCTTGCTGGTCGTCCCAACCCCGCCAGCCCATTACCCCCGTCCATAACCCGCCCGGCATGGCCCACCCGGAGGGCCCTCCCGGGCCGTCCATGACAGCGTACTTCCCGTACCTGTGGGATTCACCGGTGTAATCTCTAGCTCCGAAACCTTCTTTCCTGCTAGCTCCTCCACCACAGCCGGCACCTCCTTCAGCGCCTTCTCGCTCACGACATGGCCGCTGGGGCGTAGCACCACAAACTTGTAGCGTCCATTGAAGGCGACGCCCGTGACCGGGCAACAAAAGTCCGAGTCATTGCTGGGCTGGAATGTCGCTTGGGAAGCAGCGGCCGCCTTGGCGTGGGAACCGCTCGCTCCCCCACCAGAAGCGGACTTTTTCGCTGGGTGCAGCTTGAGCTCTAATACTGATTTGAGCCCAGTGATGTGGGATAGTGCTTGCGGTATGGATTTGTCGAGCAGTCGCTGGATCACCGCATCCTTGTTGTAGAGGTTGCCGATATCGTCCACGACACAAGGGGGCGTAAGCGGCTCGCCGGACAGGTGGCAACGCGTCCATTTCGCGAGGCGCTCCTCCTCGGGGTTCACCTTGTCGGCTTTCTTGCCCAGGTACATCTCCAGGTAGCAGGATCGCGACTCGGCGCCAGTGGAGCCGCCGTCGCCACCGCCGCCGCGAAGGCGGTAGCTGAGCTGCAACGTTGCGTTGGGGCCCAGGCTGCAGACATCGCTAAGGAGCCGCTCATCTGGCAGCGAGACGCCCCCATGCTGCAAGCGCTGTTAGACGGAAAGAAGGACGCACTGTATTAGGCAAGAAACCGTGAAGGCTTGGGGATATGCTGCGCGGAGCAGCAGTAACTCACCATGAAGCGGTAAGGTCCCAGCTGTGCGTTCCTGGAGCTAAGTCGCTCCTTCAGGTCTCCAATTGTATCGGAAATCGAGCAGTCAACGGCCAGCGTCCCAACAGGAAAGCCGCATCGGACAAAGAGTAGCATCTCGTTCAGTTCCTTCCAATTCCTTCCAAAGGCAGGTCTCAGGAAATTGAAAATTGTAAGGTACTGTTCGTCTTACGGTCGGAACGATAAAGGCACGGTGCAGTGGACAACTGTTTCGTTGCGAGAAACCGAGCGATCGTCAACAATTAATAAGGGTGGTTATAACAGCTGCAAGCTATTGAGGTTTTGGTGGCCTACTGCACAGACGATCCCAAAACGAAGTCTCTGTGCGAGCTTGCGTACGACAGCCCTTTGGTTCTTCCCAAACATGCATGAGGTTGGCCCGCCCTAACATCTTGTTGTTTTTCATGCTATGGTTTATGACGTCAACATGACAAATTACGATGCCGGGTACGCAGTTGTTGGGCCGTCCCGTCTTTCACGCGGTTAATGGGGACCTTCATCGCGTCATGTGACGCCAATTGATGAACTCATTTGCTGTTGTCTTGAGCATTAGTTGGTTCTCTATAAGACTTTCATAGCCTGGCCACTTAGACCTTGGAAGCGGTTGGAAAACGACTTCATGTCCCTTGATTCGCAGAGTTCCTTACTCAACGTTCGGGACAAGCTTCTATACACAGCTGAAAAATAGTCCTGCTTACTCGATCGGTTATGGTGAAAAGGAGGTGAGGGGGCCGCTTCGATGCCAGCTTGCGAGGCACTCCTAGTAATGCTCCAAGGGAACAGTTTATTGTTAGGTAGATTTCTCCGCTACAAAGTTGGTAAACTATGGATTAACCTGCTGGCTGCTCACCCTGCCAAAAACCCACGTGTTACGTCAACTTCAGAGACTGCCAGAGCACCTGTCAGTCAAAGAAGCCGTCCCCGGCCCCGGCACCTACAGCGCCGATCCAGATGCACTTCGACATTCAGGTAAAGCTGGAAGATATGCTTTCAGATGATCCCAAGCTGCATGCCACCGGCCGGATCACGACACGGACGAGTTTTGCCCTAGACTTACAGAAAGCAGGCACATGCAGCAACTGGTATGCACGATGGTATGGTGTTCAACGATCAAAAAATCTCCTTCTTGCCTCTCTTTGGCGACCTAATAACTGTCGTCAAACAGTTCGAGTTCTGCTTGACGTAGGTCTGGCTTGAGGACAGTACTGGGTAAAACCGACACATCGGGGAAAGCCGCCCGACCCGAACTTTGGCACATAACCACAGCGGCCCGCTGCCTAACCTTTCGCCAAGCAATGTTGATTGCTTGTATACGTGTTGTTGGTTTGCCTAATGCAGCTCACCTTTCCTGTGTTTGCGCATTTTGCCCACGCATTTTCAGGTCCTCTTGTCCAACCCGGCTTGTACGCCAACGCGAAATGGGCAGTCGACACCACCGTCAGGACAAACTTGGGCCTGCCGAAGCACACGCATAAGAGTGCGTGTATGTCGTACGCGCGTACGGTTTCTAGGGATGTCATGCAGCAGCGAGATTTGTACAGCGGCCCGATCCGGCTGGGGAGTCGTGTTCAGGCTTGTGGGTGCAGTTTGGTAGCCCCTTCTTTGCCGGCTGAGCTGGGAGATGCCTACCGATACACAGCTGCGCCCCAAGTGAAGCCCCATGTGCGCCCAGCTCAACTGCCCGCCCGCAGTTTTCCATCCGGCCCAGCTACCTGCCTGTTTGCCAGTCCGCGCCACCTTATGCACATCTTTACCGCATGTGCCGTACACCGCATGGGCGCCAAAAAACGTTTCTTCGCATCTTGCCGCGTGTGCCTCTGTCTGCTCGCTCAGTGCCCCCTGGGCCCGGACTGTACTTCCGGACCCATAGCGCCAACAACCTGACCGGATCCAAGCAGCTCAAAAGCAGCTGGAGAAACTCCGCAGAGTCAGGATGGCAGGACTACTGCGCAAGGTGGGGGGGCGTGGGTTTTAACCTTCACCTTCGTCAACGTAAGGTTTTTATGACGGTTTGCGTGGGTTTGGGTTTTGGGTTTTGCGTCTTATTCGCGTTCTGTCTTTGGCAATGAAGACGAAGACGGCGACGACCATGTGTGCCAATTTTCATTTTTCCCCAGCCCCGGCATCGGAAGGGCTGCGAGCAGGTTTCGATGTTAAATGCACGGCACCAGGGTCCTTTCCCTTTCCTTTCTCGCAATCTTGTCTAAGATTGCAATTAATACTGCTGTCGCTGTGTTCCTTGTGTTATTGTCCTACGTGGCGCATCGTGTGGTCGTCGCTCACCAGGCAGTGTCAGACGCCGGTTGTGTTGTCTCGAGAGCACGAGCGGGAGCGGTACGGCACGCACTCGCCGGGCCCTATGACTGCAGTACCGGTAGACGCAGTGGGACGACAGCTAACCTCGAACCGCAAGACACAGCCCCGGTGAGCTCTCTGCCTGCCCTGCGACAGCTTGTAGTGTTGTTCCTGCTTGTTATGCTGCTGCTCCTCCTCTTGTCGGTTGTAATGCATGCCGGTGTTAACCTGGATTTCCGGATTTCGCGAAGGCGCCGACCTGCCACTAATCCCTGTTTGCACTGTACGATTTGCAGCTATGCTTACAAAGATGGATGGTAAACCCTTTCTTTCAGAATGGTTCACTGAAAGGAAGAGGATGTATTCACCTGTTAAGTGTAGTTGTGCTCATGATGGCGCCTTTGGTGCGAAATGTTTGCGTCTAAATGATGATGGTGATGGCGGTGGTCTTGTTTTTTTGGTGCACTATTTACGGACAGGTGTGCATTCGGGCGATCGGAGCGGTTCTCAACGGTGGCGATGCGGATGTCGGCGGCGGTGCCGGGCCCCGGGGCATACAACTACTGAGCGGGCGGCAGCTGTGGCGGCAATGGACCGGGAGCTGCCGGCAGTGATTATGAGTGACGAGTGATTATGAGTACTGATGACGTGACGCTGCACGGCGCCACCGCGGACATCTCGACACAGTGTAGAAGTAGTTTTTCCCTCTCTGGCCGGCGCCGTGGTGGCCTGAGAGCTGCATTTTCGGCTGCAGAGCCGCCCCAACAAAGCAGCTGCGGCGACAGCAGCTGTGATGGCCGCAACGGCAATGCAGTAATGGCGGCGGGGCCAGCAGCGATGACGGCAGTGATGCGACGGCGGCGATGGCAGCTGTGATGGCTGCCATCGACCCGAGGTGTGACCCGCCAGGCTTGCCCCCCTCCGCTCTCCTGGCTGACTGCTGAAACTGAGGGGTTAAGAAAGTGGACGGCGGAATAGAAAGCAAAGGAGCATTGCGGGGTCTTATAGATAGCGCCAGTAATGCGACTTGGCCTTTGGCTGGTGGTTGGGTCAATGGTCGCCGCTACAGTCCCGCCCTTCCTGATTTCCCGCCAGTGTGGGGAGTGTGCGCCTCGGTGAGGAGGGCACGCATGGTGCAAGCCTCTCCGCTTTTATCTGCCTGGAGCTGCCCCTTTTGGGTTACTCTTCCTGTGTACACACCCTCCTCGGTGAGCCGTTGTCTGGTGCTGCCCTGGCGGTGGCTGGTGTCCTCGTGCCGCTGCATGACGCTAAACACGGCTAGAGGGGTATGCAATAGCAAACGCATGTGCTGGTGTTGTGGTCTTGTCCACACCATCTGCTGGTTGCATTTTTTGGGCAACTTGTTGATCTGGGTTTTGCTGTAATTTGTAATGGCACACTGAGGGCGGCTAATATCCTGCTGCCCTGCTTCGAAGAGGTGATGATACGTTATAACAGTAGCGCTGGGGACGAGCTTCCACCTTGTCACGGTGAGTGACGGTCTGCTTGTATGTAGGTCTGTATGCTTTGGGGTATGTGGGTAGTATATTTATGTAAACATGCCATGTATATGGATGTGCACGTATGGGTTTGTCTGCAGGTAGTTGGTGTTTACTTGTACAGCTGGTATGTTTTGAAATAATACTTCCGGTATTGTGTTACTGTCCAGGCGACACAACCGGTCTATTCTTTATATCTTTTTCGCGGGAAGGGTGGTGGTTTCACTTATTTTGCTTCGGTGCTGATTAGTTTGGCTGGCTGGACATTTGGTGGGGGGCTCCTCTAGCCTTGGTCGGGTGGGAAGGTCAGGTAGGTAGGAAAGTAGGTAGGTAGGTAGGTAGGTAGGTAGGTAGGTAGGTAGGTAGGTAGGTAGGTAGGTAGGTAGGTAGGTAAGACAGGCGAATGTACATGGTTCACAATATAGGATAAGTAAATGTGGTGGTGGTGCATTACACTGGTGTACATGTGCACATGTGGATTAAGCCACTATTCCAACCAGGGTTGGGGAGGTGTGTGGAGACAACACGACACAGCAGGAGTGCGACACGTTTATTATTCCTGTGTGTGTACGTATGTACGTTTGTGCCACATGTGCAAAGGAAGCTGTATGTATTGCTGTGTGAACGGGGCAGGTAGAAGGGTGCAAAGGCAAGATGGCTCCGGATGCATTGCGGCCAAACTGACGAATGTATGGTCAGGTGAACTGGGGCGAGGTCGGTGTTGGGCAGGTGTAACTATCATTTTTCCCCAATCTTGTTGTTGTGTGGGTGACGTTTGCTTGTCTGGCTGCAGTCATGCCGAGATTTTGTTTTGACCATCTGTCTGTAGTTGCTGGCCAGACACCGAAAGGCTTTTCGAGATGCTGGGAATGCACACTATCGCGTGTGTATGTATTTGGTGATGTGTGCCGTACCATACGACAGCTACTTTGTTATGCTCTATATCTTGCTTGGTTGTCGGGATCGGAATGTGCTTGGGTGAGATTTGCAATGACGGACGGGGAAACCTATTGGATTATCATATATGTATGTACATGTATGTACATGTATGTATGTATGTATGTATGTATGTATGTATGTATGTATGTATGTATGTATGTACTTACTTTGGATGGGACTCGGCTTCCAGCCTGCCAGCCTTCCCATGGCCGAGCGACGAAGTCACCAGCCAGCGAGGCTACTGGTTATTTCACACCCGCCCGCCGCCTGCCCACACTCTTAACTCCCCGGGCCACATACATTTTGTTGTCGGTCATAACGGATCCGGACCACCAGATCAGAGGGGCCGCCACATGGTACCAGCTGACCAAATCAACCTTAGCACCAAATACAAACAAGGAAAACTCTATATAGCATCATGCAACTGTGTGCACCGAATTACCTGTGCATGCCCTAAATGCAAACCAACATAACATAAAGATTCTATAAATAACTACAGTAGCCGTAAGATGGGTCGCCATCCGTAAGCACTAATGCAGTGCTACGACGTCAAACAATACAGACAAACGCACTTCCGCGGTAATTCCGTCCCTATGGTATACATTGTATAGAGGTCGGCAAATAAGGCGGGTCCTGCGGGTCTGTACCACAGTACCCGCAGCCGATATTCGTCTTAAGGCCTCAGCTGCAGGTCCCTAATGACCAAAATTTGACCAAAAGACGTGATTAGCAGCCTCTGTTGCGCCCCGTAGTAGGGCCTCGTGCTGGACTTGAACTCTGTGTTTAACTTCGTAAAGAAGGAAGTCGCCCCAAAAAGGTTTTAGGTTTATTATCCGAAATTATGCCTTCCCGCAGCCGTAGAAACCGAATTGCCTACCTCTGATTGGAAGTTTATAAATATTCTCAGACGTACAGTTGGTACGGATGGCCGTTAGTGGTGTTACAAAGATGTGTCAGTCTGACTCCCTTTTATTGCATCATGACTACAATACAGTTTTCAACTTGTTCAACCCTCAAATCGTGTCTCAATTAGCATTAATCTTCCCAGAATGCAGTCCATTTTGCTGCTGCCTCTCCGTCTCCACCGTCCCTTGCTGCCTCACTCTCATCATCTCACATCTCATCCCATCCCTTCTCCAGTCACATCCACCAGCCCTGCCATGCTCATCTAAATGTCTGTGTCCGCGCCCACTGCTGCTGGCCCTGCATCATTGCCCTCATCAACAGCTGCCTCCGTAGTGGTGGAAACGGCTGCAAAGGTTTCCTCTGTAGCCTCCTGAGCTGCTTCCTGCAGCCTCGATGCCTCACTTGCAGCTGCCTGCATATCCAAGAAAGCCCAAAGAATGGAGAAATCGGGAATGAGGGAGAATCCATCCTTAGGCAGGGAGATACAGGGTGGAAGAAAACAAGGTATCAGGC